ATTACTGGTCAGCAATAACATTCTACCCTTGATTAACCATGTTCTACCACGTTAACCCTCATCTACGCTAGGTTAGCCATATTCTACCACGTTCACCCTCATCTACCCTAGGTAACCCATGTTCTACCACGTTAACCCCCATCTACCCTAGGTTAGCCCTGTTCTACCTCGTTTACCCTCATCTACCCTTGATTAACCATGTTCTTCCACGTTAACCCTCATCTACACTGGGTAACCCATGTTCTACCACGTTTACCCCCATCTACCCTTGATTAACCATGTTTTACCACATTCACCCTCATCTACCCTAGTTTAGCCATGTTCTGCCATGTTCTACCACGTTGACCCAGATCTACATGGTAACCCATGCTCTACCACGCTTACCTCCATCTATCCTTGATTAACCATGTTCTACCACGTTAACCCTCATGTCCCCTAGGTAACCCATGTTTTTCCACGTTCACCCCCATTTACTCTAGTTTAGCCGAGTTACACCTCGTAGGAATGATGGCTTATTATTTATCGAAGCAAAAAAACCACGGATTTAGAGGCGTATTGAACAACAAGTTGACGGCCTATAAAGGTCACTTGGAATCTATAAAAGGGAGAGGGGATCAGAACTGCTATCGTCGACAGGAACTCTGCAAATACGTGGACCATGGACAAATTGTTATTCGTTTTTGTTTACAAGTGTAATAAAAGTTATGAATCTAACTGATGTTGAGCCATCAGCGTAAAACATTTCCTTACTATACACTTTTGCCATGATTAGGTCAAAATCATCGGGCAAGAGCCCGTTAATCTTTCATCTGGAGAAGCTGCATAGATAGCTGCCAAGTTGGCGCACATGCAAAAAAAAAAAAAAAGAAAACTCAGAGTGCGCTCGTCTCAATTCGGACCAACATGTACATGATAAGTGCACTGCTCGATTCCTTCTCCGCCACGATGCCTACATCGCCTACGTTCGCCTCAGTTACAATATTAATAATGACCCCCTCGCACCACTTAAACTTGTTTAACTTTTGAAAATTGGTAAAAGAATCATTCAGTAGCGCTTCCAAAGTAGATTGAAAAAAATTTTTAATTTTCCTTTATTTTCCTCTGAATGAAAGAGAAGATAAAAGCCATGAGCAACCCTTATAAAGCTGTACTTTATGCATGCTGTTCCAATAGACTTAATCCTATCTTTTTCACCCTGTACATCTTCGTTGCTTCTTTCTTTTCAGCATAACATCGCTCGTTTATCGTTTTATCGTGTAAAAAGTTCTTGAAGTAATAAGTTTCAGGTCATTTGGGATTTGATGGACAATAAAAGGGACTAGAAATTCGATTGATAACGCACTTACAAAAGAATTCATTTATTATTTTTTTAAGGGGAAAAAGATGCCGAACTAAATTGCATTTCGCAAAAGTTTAGATTAGAAACCTCGAGAAGGGTGACGGGGTTCTTAACGATAACAAAAGTCCCACTTCGAGCATTTATGCAGTTAACGTTAGTTTACCCAACAGAGAAACGCCCCTGGTATCACGACTAAGTAAAGTTACAAAGTAAAGTATTGCAAGTTTTGATTACTTAAAGTTACTGTTTCTGACTGAAGGCAATGGAAGACGGTTTGGAGTGACATCTGTTGGGAAAAATCTAATCACCTAAAAGTATGTCCTAATACAACAAAACTATTTAACAACCGGTCACTATTATAAGCCGGCCGGATCTGTTTTTCTTTTTTATAGAGGACATTTCGCCACCAATCAGAACTGTGAATCAGATCGATCATTTCTCAGGCAGTACCGTATTTTCTGGTTAAATTTGTGTAATTATTTATAAAAAAAAACCCATGGATTTACAGGCGTGTTGAACAACAAATCCGGACGGCTTACTAGTACAATATTTTTCGAAACGAAACGAAACGAAACGAAACCAGGCGAAATGTAATGAAACTAAAAGAATAATGCAGATATATTTTCTAATTAGGTAAAGATAACTTTCACGAAGATTTTGGAGTAATCGGCAATTAATAACAAGGATTTTTAATCATTTTGCAAAGTAGTAAGATAGGAAGAGTTACTATTTTTCGAAATCGACTATTTTCACCCTGCGGAGAAAATGTGACCACTTCATGTCACAAACATACATGAAACCATTTCAAATCAGTATTTGACCGAGGACTTAGGCGTTCTTTTATTTTTTTAAATCGTATTAAATTAAATGCGAAATGGACCATATTCACCCTTCAATAACAATGTCTTTCTATTCAGGTCACAAAAATACGTTAAAAAGTCACTATCCGAGGGCAAATATGCTAGTTTAAAGAACTTCACATTTCAAAGGGGCAACTATCAGACCGATAAACACTCTATTGTCTTTATTGTTCACCACTAAGTTTTCTTCCGCGCGCAAGTTGAAAAACAGCCAAAACCCACTAAATGTAGATCAATAAATATATTTATTCATGCGTACAGCCTGTGACAAATGCCAATAATTCGCAACTATACTTTGGCTAAATAATGCGTTATACCTGTCAGAATTGAAAAATCTGTTTTACCGATCTGCCTAACTTCGCGGCCGTGAAACCATTCAAATTTTTTTTATGATTTTCCGCGGACGGGCACAATGGGCCGATAGTGTCTCTCCACGGATTAACACTATCGCGTCTCGTGATCAATTTAAACCAGTAAGAATCGGATAAAGTTTAGTGGTGAACTTTAATTCCCCTCAGCGGGTAGTAACGATGTTGCCATTCTCGTGTAACATGATAGGTTTTAATTAAACGCAATATCAAATTAAGAAATATCTTGGCCATCTTCACCTGCATAAACGTTCAGTATCTTCATTCCCTATCAACAACAACAACAATCATTCTTTGTACTCCTTGTATTTGTCAAGTTAAAAAACAATATTGAAAATAAAAAGAATATTGGCTATCTGGAATAACCATAGGGGCTAGCGGAGCCAGGTACTCAGTAGACAACAACATTGAATGAAAATAAATTACTGGTCAGCAATAACATTATAACGTCATATACATATTATACAAAATAACTTATATCAAGGCCTAGGAAGGTCGACAGAATTTAACAAAAAAATTATTAACCAGATAATTTGGGAAAAGACGGAATTGCAATCTAAGATGAAATAAATACATATCTCTGATAATCATTCAAAACGAGATCGTATTTTACTGATTCCTTAAATTTTGAAAGAGTTCTCACTCATAGACTTCCATGCTGTAGGACCTTTAAATATTATATTGAACATGCCATGATTTGTTCTTGCTTCAGGTAAAGTGTAAGTACCTGATAGCAGTCTTTTTGCGAACTCTTTTCGCGGGAAGGTCGTCAGCCGGAGTAAGCGCATCTTTTAACTTGTTCTTTCCCCTTCCTGATACAGACAGGTTTGTGTCAGAAGGAAAAAAGGAAACGGCAAATATAACATTTCACAACGGAGGTTTTGAAAGATTATAACGAAGTTCTAAAATCTTTGTTACACGCTTTTAGTCTCGCAGAAATAAATTTATGGATGAACTAGTAATCATTCAAGGCATTTTAACGCCCTTTGAAACACCCCACACACACAATAGAATTCCAGGCATTCGAACTACATGTGGCAAACTATAATAGCACAAACATTTTCAGAACCAAAGGATAGTTCCACTAAAATGCCCTCCAGGTTCCAGGACTTTTTTCCATCAATCAGAAAAATAGCAATTTTTAGCTCGAACATTTTCTCGTCAATCGACCACTGACGTTCACACTTTCAAATGCATCCTTCTCTCCAGCTAGGTGACCAAAGTGTCGCCGTTTTGCAAAATTGCAAATGAACCGGCGTTTGAACATCTAAATTTTAAAACAACAACCTAAAGCAATTGTTGGGAAACCTCGAAGAGTTTTTGCATACCTTTGTGCTCTTTCGTCTTTGATACTTGCCTTCTATCACAGGCAGCCCAAGCTCACTACTCGAAAAGCGGACGTGACTCTTACCGTGTTGCGCAACGTTTTACATTTATAAAGGTTTGCATGGGATGTTATCGGTTTGCCTTAAAAGAGAGGAAAAAATGTCTTGTTTTGAAATAAAATGGTCTTACCTTATTGCCTTGTTGTTTTCTTAATCGATTCCTTGTGTCTCAAGCCATTTTGAAGCGTTTTGGGCGAGTTGGCGCTATGTTGGTGTTCAACTGCTATTGAAAACGCCGAAAACGCTTCAAAATGGCCTGAGACGCTAGGAATCAACAAAGAAAACAACAAGGCAATAAGGTGAGTCCATTTTATTTCAAAACAGGACATTTTTTCCTCTCTCTTAAGGCAAACCGATAACATCCCATACAAACCTTTATAAATATAAAACGTTGCGCAACACGGTAAGAGTCACGTCCGCTTTTCGAGTAGTGAGCTTGGGCTGCCTAGTCAACTAGTCGGGCTGCTTAGGGTTGCTTGGGCTGCTTAGTCAACTTCACGTCGAAGAAGACCAGTTGCTGAAGAAAAGAAGAAATATATCACGTAACAAAAAATCTTCAGGTGGTCTTTAATATCGACGGGAGTGCCGGCAAACTCCAGGTCAAATCGATAGGATGAGTTTCCAAGGATCATCGCTTGGGTCTTGTCCTCGTTGACCTGTAGATAGTTAGAGACAAACCAGGAAGATAGTCTTCCCATGTCTTGGTTTAATATGTGTTGAAGAACAATTGGGCTATCATTGGCCGTATATTGAGTTGTATCGTCTGCATAGAGGCGGAGGGAAGAAACGGTGACGGTTTCGTTAATTTCTTCCATAACCAGGTCGGCTAAAACAGGACTAATGGGAGAACACATGGCGCATCCAAAAATCTGTTTGTAGTGGTCGCCATCATATTTAAAATAATTGTGGTTGAGGACAATTTCTGAAAGTCTCAAAATGTTGTCAACAGAAAGATTGGTACGTTCTGCTAGATTCTGGTCTCGTTGTAGTCTCTCCTTGGTTATCGTGAGGGCTAAGTCCACAGGTATGGAGGTGAACAGGGACTTCACGTCGAAGAAGACCATGACTTCATCGCTGTGGATGGAAAGCTGTTTTATTTGTTGCGTGAAAACGGAACTGCTTTGGACTGTGTCGGTATTCTTTCTCCGAGGTGACAGGACTGAAACTAGATATTTGGAGACCGCATAAGTCGGGCTACCGATACTGTTAGTGATGGGTCCCACCGACTTTCCATCTACAAATTAATGCAGACGCGAAGAAATACAACGAGTAAAGGCCCTTCTGCGAGATAACAATTATCCAATGCCTTTATACGGAACAGTGAGAGAGTGTTATTTAAACAACCCGCCCAGACCAACTTCATTGGCTTTGTAGTGCTGCCGTATGTACAGGGTGTCTCCGAGAAAATAAGTCGCATATTGAAACAACGAAAGGTCAAAGTAGCCTACAAACCACAACAAACAATCAACAGCCTTCTTCCACGCCCTAAGGAGCTAGACGAACCTGACTGCCAGAAGTCAGGCATGGTGTACAAAATCAATTGCACACAGTGTAATTTTAAGTACTATGGCCAAACAGAAAGATCATTAAAGACCAGAATTGCGGAGCACAAAAAGGCAGTTGCAGGTTTTGACTTAAACTCCAAAATCGCAAGCCATGTCCACCTTTTCGACCATAACATGGATTTCACAAACGTCAGGGTCGTTGGTTTCGAAACTAATTACCACGAGAGACTTTTCCTTGAAGCCTGGCACTCTACTTTGGATCCGAATGCGGGGAACGATCACATCGTACTCGCA